CCATCCATCTATCTATCTATCTATCTATCTATCTATCTATCTATCTATCTCTATCATCTGTCCATCCATCCATCCATCCATCCATCCATCCATCCATCCATCCATCTATCTATCTATCTATCTATCTATCTATCTATCTATCTATCTATCTATCTATCTATCTATCTATCTATCTCTATCAATCTGTCCATCCATCCATCCATCCATCCATCCATCCATCCATCCATCTATCTATCTATCTATCTATCTATCTATCTATCTACCATCTATCTTGCAATGTTCAAAGACGGATATCAGCCTCCCAGAATAAATTGCTGCCAACATTTACGTAACAATGAATATTAAAACGGAGGCAATCTATTGGGACGTCCCTATCAATGGTGCCCCCACAGTAATGCTATAAGCCTAGATGGAATTGGTTATTTTAAAAAATATCACCCCTGGGAACATTACCTTGTAACTAAAGGCCTTGGTTATCAGTACTAAAACTAAGCACAGAATACATTTCAATTTCTTCCACTTTGCCCCACTTTCCCCTCATTCCCTGCATAAATGTTATTTTATATCTAAAAGGAAAGAAGGAAACCCGTTCACCAGCATTCCTTTTGAGCCTTTAAGATTGCTTGGCATTTCTTGCAACCTAAATGAGAAGACGTCGCTTTTAAGAGAAACTTCTAAAAGGCAATTTTGCTCATGACCTAAGGAGAAATCGGTAATTTCCTCCTCCTCCACCTAAGAAAATGAAGTTGGTGACAGCAAATCAGTCTTGAAGAGATCAACATCATTTTCTTTGTGGAAGTATTTTTTTAAGAATAGCCTATTTTACTGAGACAGAGGAAGTAGAATTTGCATGTTTAGGTTCAAAAGTTCGCTGACTTGCAAAAAAAATAAAAGAAAAAGAAAAAAAGGATGTTTCCTTTCAAACCAGCACACTTGCCAGCGAGAAATATCACAAAAATAGAAATGAAGTTAAGATGGATTATTTTATTGCTAAGGAGGTGAAGGAATGGTTTCCTGGCTTAGGAAGGGCACAGAATCCTTCCCCAACAGGGAGTATTTGCAGGGTGTGGTGGAAAACACCAGGAAGGTCGGTCACAATAGCGCAATCAAAACTCTGCCGGTGTTTTATGTGTAACGCACAAGACAGGCCTGGCTTTGATTGCACTGATGCGACGACCATCTTTGATTTCTTTTGGCCACTCCTTGCAAACACCCTTGTTCCACAAGGATCTGAGACAGGAGTGAAATCCAGCAGGTTCTGACAGGTTCTGGAGAACCGGTAGCGGAAATTTTGAGTAGTTCGTAGAACCGGCAAATTCCATCTCTGGCTGGCCCCAGGGTGGGGAGGGAATGGGAATTTTACAGTATCCTTCCCCTGGAGTGGGGTGAGAATGGGGATTTTGCAATATCGTTCTCCTGCCATGCCCACCAAGCCACACCATGTCCACCAAGCCACACCCACAGAACCAGTAGTAAAAAAAATTGGATTTCACCATTGATCTGGGATAAGTAAGAATCCAAGAGGATTTGGGCTTTTCACTGCCAGATGCTACGTTTCTGAAATTCTAGTTTTTTGTAATTTTACCCCTACAAAACAGTATTTGGAATCTTTAGAAAGATAAGCAGGAGGACCTTCAGTTCTTCATAAACAGAGTCAGAGAAATATCCGGGAGAGAGGGAGAGAGAGAGAACCTAGTACATATGAAGAAATGTCCTAGGTGTTGGGACCTAGGCTTCCTGAGTCATTAAAACATACAAGTAGTCCCAAAAACCTCTTTTATTGCAACAGCTGTGAATTACGTTCATTCACAGCTGAGTCCCAATTAGTTGCAAAAAAGTCCTTTGGGAGAAGTCCTTCAGGATAATCACCAACCTTTATCTCCCTTGACTCTCTGCCAAAGACCTACTTGGCAAAGCCACACGGAGTCCAGAATCAAACAGAGATGCCGACTGGGAACAGAATTAACAACGTTGCTTTCCTGCAAAGGGCCCATGTGCCTTTGCTCCTCTTTTAAGCCTTATGGGAGGGGCCAATCATCTCCAGGCCTTACTCTCGAGTCATCCCTTTAGTTCTAATTAATCTTGCCTTCTGGCAGCTCTGCGCATGTGCACACTAGGAACAGGCTCCTGTTCCTCTCCTCTCTGATATCCGACTTTGAAGTCTCCAGAGTCCGCACATAACTCCCAGATGGTCCTGGCCCCATCTCTGTCTCCAATGCAGAGCCCTCCTCTGAGCCTTCCCCAGACTCCAGGACTGGCCCATGTTCCTCCTCAGCCTCCTCACTGAGTCCACTGTCAGCTCCGCAGGCTGCTGGCGGACCACAACACTAGGGACTTGTCCTATGGCAAAAAAATATTGGTTAAACGTAAAAATGTGGCTAGAAGAAATGATAAAACAACAAAAAGATCTAAACCCAGAGATGTTCTCGTTGGGTATCCTACTGGAGAAATACCGGAGAAATAAAAGAAATACATATTCAATTTTATATGTGGTAACAGCAGCGAGAATTGTGTATGCACAAAATTGGAAAAATGAAAATATACCTATAGAGGAAAATGTAATAAAGAAAATACTAGAACAGTGATGCTGAAGTTTTTCGGCACCGAGTGCCCAAACCAGAATGTGCATGCATGCATGCACGCACCAGAGTGCCGGAAACCCGAATACCAGGTGGCCAGTGGGCATACGTGTGCCAGCCAGCTAGTCTTTTTCCAGTTAGTCTGGTTTCCAGCACTCTGGCATGGCTGATCTTCTGGCTGCTTTTCTGGTTTCCAGCACGCGCATGCGCACCGGTCACTGGTCTTCGGGTTTCCGGCACTCCAGTGCGCCAGCCGGCCGGCGCGCACAAACCAGAAGAGCTGCTGATGACAAAGAGAAGAAGAGCAGCTGGCGTGCGCAAACCAGAAAAGCAGCTGGCGACGGTGCAAGTGTCTGGCACATGTGCCATCGATTCGCCATCACGGCACTAGAATGTGCTGAAATGGATAGATTAAGATTGAAAATTAAGGATAAGGAGGAAACAGAATATTTTTTAACTTAGGAATTATTTTATCAATGGTTGGAAAATAGAAGCAGAAGTTAGAAATTTAGAATCAAGGAGGATATGTAAATAAAAATGAAGTAAATGTGCAATTAAATAATGAATATTGAATAGAATAGAATAGAATAGAATAGAATAGAATAGAATAGAATAGAATAGAATAGAATATTGGAAAGAATAGAATAGAATAGAATAGAACAGAACAGAACAGAACAGAACAGAACAGAACAGAACAGAACAGAATAGAATAGAATAGAATAGAATAGAATAGAATAGAATAGAATTCTTTATTGGCCAAGTGTGATTGGACACACACGGAATTTGTCTTTGGTGCATACGCTCTCAGTGTACATAAAAGAAAAGATACGTTCGTCAAGAATCATAAGGTACAACACTTAATGATAGTCATAGGGTACAAATAAGCAATCAGGAAACAATAATAATGAGGATAAGTAAACATGATTAATAGACTTGGATGATAATCGTTACAAATGTGATGGTTATATAATGCTTGATATTATTAACTAATTATAGATAAAACTGAACAGAGTGTTTAATTTAATAACGGAAAATTTTTAATAGGGTTATGTGAAGAATATGGTGTATAGATTTTGAGAATAATAGTTATAGCTATTGTCTGTATAAGATTTATTATTTGTATTTAAAAGTGATTATATCTAGTCAGTACACTGCCGTTATGGATATGGACATTTTATATGTAACAAAGAAAATTGTATAATAAAAAATAATATTAAAAAAAAAAGAGCCCAACATTTCTGTTGTTAAGTGAAACATTTGTTAAGTGAGTTTTGCCCCATTTTACGACTTTTCTTGCCACAGTTGCTAAGTGAATCACTGCAACTGTTAAATTAGCAACATGGTGGTTAAGTGAATCCAGCTCCCCCGCTGACTTTGTTTATCAGAAGGTCGCAAAAGGGGATCACGTGACCCCAGGACAGTGCAACCGTCATAAATATGAATCAGTTACCAAGCATCTGAATTTTGATCACATGACCATGGGGATGCTGCATCGGTCGTAAGTGTGAAACACAGTCAAAAGTCCCTTTTCTCAGTGCCCTTGTAACTTTGAATGGTCACTAAATGAGCTGTTGTAAGTCAGGGACTACCTGTATTTTTTGTATAAATACATGGTTCCAAAGTGTTGTGGCCCGTCAGTGCCCTGTGCAGATTGTAGCTGATTCCGACAGCGAGGAGGTTGGTGTGGTGCTGCACCAGCAGCCTGTGCAGCTGGCACTCGAGTCGGACAGTGAGGAGGCTGGAGAAGAGGTGGTGCCAGAGGCAGGGATTCAGCCAGGGCCTTCAGAACCTCCAGAAGCTCCTTTAACTGAAGAGGAAGAAGAGGAGGAGCCTCTTCTCGATGCACGGGCGCGCAGAGCTGCCAAAAGGCAGGAGTGGCTCCTCAGGAGGAGGTCTCCTCGAGAGTAAGGCTTGGGGCTAATTGGCCACTCCCTTAGCCTATTTAAGGAGGAACGCCGATTGCAGCAAACTGTAGGGAACAACTTTAGTTCACTCTCCTTTGCGTCTGGATTCTCTGCAAAATTGTTTCTGGGCTTTCTGCCAACTCTAGCAAGACTGTGATTACCTTATCTTAGAATTCTGGTAGGCTGTTAAGACAGTTTATTAACAGCCTTTGGTTGATAAAGACGGAGTTATTTGAGTAAAATAAGCTTTGTATAGAGTTTGTGTGTGCTGCGTTCTTTGGGGTCCGTAGCTGGGGCAGAACACAAAGTTCTCGTTCATAATTTTTGTTTCTGTATTATGGGTTGTGAAACTTTGTCACCATCTTTTCCACAATTATACGACAGGGATAGTGAAGGCAGGTGAGTTAAGGAGGTGTACAATCAAACAACGAATGAATGATAAACTGGTCCCAATTAACCTACGGGAGAAGTTCTTTGCCCAGTGACTGAATTTATGTTTGCTCTTTGTCCTTCGCAGAGTGCCCTTCGTGCAGTTACCTGTCACAAAAAAGTGGTCATTGTCCGAAAAGATAATGCAGAGTCCCTGGGCATGACGGTGGCAGGAGGTCTATCTTCACACAGAGAATGGAATCTACCTATTTATGTCTTAAGTGTCGAACCGGGCGGAGTCATCAGCAGAGACGGCCGAATAAAAACAGGTGATTGCATCTCAGTTCAGAACATATTTTGAGATGGGAATCCACCTCAAAGCAACGTCATTTTTCAGTCTTCTTTGTGTACTTTTAAAAATGTATTTAGCTGGAACAGCTTTTATGTTGGCTTCTTCTGTCATTACTGTACTGTTGAATCTTGGAGAAGTTAAATTAGACTGATTGGATTACTGGAAAACAAAAACATTAAAATAACAGGGTTGCAAGGGACTTTGGAGGTCTTTTAGTCCAATCCCCTGCTCAAACAGGAGACCCTATACCAGGCATGAAATGCACTTACCTTCGCTACTGTATCACAAATGTGAGCGCGCGCCCCTCCTTCACGTATACACAGAGCATCTTGCGTATGCTCAGTGGGTCAAAAATGAGACATGACGACATCCGGGTGGGTGGGTGGAGACTCCCGCCACCGGCTCTACCGGATAGCGCGATCCGGCTAGATCCAGCTGAATTTCACCACTGCCCTATACCCTTGATGGCGAACCTATGGCACGTTTTGCCAGAGGTGGCACGCAGAGCCCCCTCTGTGGGCACATGCGCCGTCGCCCCAGATCAGCCAGCTGGTTGTCAGGTTTCCAGCATTCTGGGGTGCATGCCTTCCGGTTTGGGTACGCTGTGCCACAAAGGTTGGCCATCACTGCCCTATACCATTCTGGACAAATGGTTGTCCAATGTCTTCTTGAAATCCTCCCGTTGTGGAGCACCCACAATCTCTGGAGGCAAGCCTTTCCACTGATTGATTGTTCTCACTGTCAGGAAATTTCTCCCTAATTCTAGATTGGATCTCTGTAATGATCTTCTCCCTGTTACTTCTTTCCTACACTTACCGTATTTTTCAGAGTATAAGACGCACCTTTTCTGCTGTAGGAAGTTAGCACCCACCCCTTTCCTAGAAGAATGAAATATTTTAGGAGATATTAAAAAGGCAGAATATTATGTTTCCCTGGTTGAGAAATGGAGAAACGTGTTTTAAAGACAAAGCAACTCCCATCTTCCTGCCTACCCCCCACCCCTTTGTTAATGGGCCAGAGGCAGAAACTCAATCTTTGACAATAGGACCATCTGCAACACAGTAGCAACAGAAACTAACACAATGGGACCCATCTAGGACAGAAACTCACCATATGGCACTTGGGAAGATCACATCAGCCAGCAAGGCTAGCTAAGACCCCCACTCCCTGGGAGTCTGACAACCAATCAGGATACTCTTTCGGGGCCCCAGGAAGTTCAAAGCCAGAGAGAGCATAAAACCCAGGGACTCGCTGTATCTCATCCCTTTTCTGTTCAGGAACTCAAACCATGTGATCCTGTCCACCATTAAACCATCTTTCCAAGCAGTCTCCATGTTTCCAGTGTCTTTTTCCCCACTTGGAGCTGAACCCAGAAGGATATTTCTTCCTATACTGCGTCTTATACTCCGAATGTAGCCCCGCCCAGCCTCTCAAATGGAGATTTCAGAGGCTGAAAGAAGCCTCTAAAAGAAGCTTCAGAAAAAAAAGCCTTTTTATCTAAAAGGCTTTTATCTAAAATAATATGACAAGCAACAAAAGAAGAATCAGTAAAGGTTCTAACAAAACTACATTAACAAATCTGGAGAATGACACAATAACCAACAGATCGGAAGAGATTAATCTACATAGCAATACCAAAGAAAAGAAATTGAACAGAGTACAGATAGTCCTTCAGAATAAAAGCCTCTGAAAGAAATTTCAGAAAAAAAGCCTTTTTTTCTGAAGCTCTGTTTCGGAGGCTTTCAGAGGCAGAAAAAAAAGTTTTTTCTGTAACGGAGTTTCAGAAGTTTCAGAGGCAGGAAAAAAGTCATGGAATTAGTTTTTCATGAGCGTTAGAATAAAAATTAGCAAGCTGAAGAAGGTATCCATTGGCTCATCCTAAAATAAAGAGAAATTTTATGACAGTGAGGGCAATCAACCGATGGAACAGAAGTTGCCTTCAGAAGTTGTGGGAGCTTTATCAGGGGTGAAATGCTCCCGGTTCGGACCCGCTCGGGCAAGTAGGTAGCGATGATGGCCGGTGGTTCGGAGAACCCGTAGCAATGGCAGCTGGAGGCTCCGCCCACCCGCCCCATTCCCCAGAGTCGGGGAATGCACCATTCCCCGACTCCGGCCTTGCCGCGGAGCCGCTGCCTGTTCGCCCTTCGCCACGCGGTGTATCCTACTGCTCACCTTTCTCCCGCGGCTGGCTGTCAGGAAAGGCAAGCGCCCAAAAGTTACTGGAGTCACTCACTCTCCTTGAATGAGCCGCTCTGGTCCATGCGCCGGCTGCGCAAGCACACACCGTTTATTTAATTCAGCGGCAGGTTGGGTGTGCGCTTGCACAGCTGGCGTGTGGACCAGAGCAGCTCATTTAAGAAGGAGAGTGAGCGACTCCGGTAACTTTCGGGCGCTTGCCTTCCCTGACAGCCAGCCGCGGGAGAAAGGTGAGCAGTAGGAGTCGGGGAATGGTGCATTCCCCGACTCCGGGGAATGGGGCGGGTGGGCGGAGCTGCGGGAGAAAGGTAAGGACACGCCGGCAGAATAGAAATTTAAAAAGTTTTCCTACCGGGTTCTGTGGGCGTGGCTTGGTGGGAGGGGGTCTTGTGACTGAGTGGGCGTGGCTGTGAGTGACATCGAGTTGGCCATGCCCACTCAGTCACAGGACAACCCCCCACCACCAAGCCACGCCCACAGAACCGGTAGGGAAAAATTTTAGATTTCACCCCTGAGCTTTATCCCTGGAATCTTTCAAGAAGAGACTGGACTGCTATCTGTCAGAAATGGTGTAGCGTCTCCTGCTTGGGCAGGGGGTTGGACTAGATGACCCACTAGGTCCCTTCCAACTCTGTTAATCAGTAAATCTGTAAATCATCCTTCCCTGATTTACATCGACAAAGCCTCCAGGTCCTGGGATATTATGGTATTTACCCATTAAAGATTTCAAGGGGAGAACATTAAATATAGGCTGTAATAAATGCTCATTAATGTAAGGATAGATGAGTGAAAATAACTTGGGGGCTGCATACCACTTTTCTGATTAGGACTCCTTGAGACACCTACGGTTCTTGAATGAATGAAATGAATAAACTCATTAATTCATTGCTCTAAGTTATTGTCATATACTCTACTTCAAGTGCCTTTCAACAGATCTTTTAGTATTTCTGCTAAGATTGACTGTTGATACAGACGAGAGAAAGCAGGGGAAAATAAGTTGTAATAACGAGAACAATGCGAGCTTAATAGCTGTGTTCTCTAGCTGATTTGCAATAAAATCCTACATATCAAAACAGCAAAGTCCAATATACACTAAACAAAGTCATTACGAGCCTGAGATTGAATATATATTTTCATAGATTATCCGGGAAAATAGTCGGACTGTTTCCCTATCTGCTATATTTCCCATCATGTTAAGACTGAAGTTTTGGAAAATGATAGATGCGTATTTATTTACTGGATTTCTAGGCCGCTCTAATTTGTTATGGTTCTAAGTGGCTATAAACCTATAAAGCAGGGGTGAAATTCTACTGGTTCGTACCGGTTCAGGCAAACTGGTAGTAAAAAAAATCTACCAGTTCAGGCGATCCGGTATTTCCAACGATCAGCTGTGCCGCGCGATTTATATTTGCTAGAAAGCAGGAAATCGTGCTTTCTACCAAATCTAAATCACGCGGCACAGCTGTTCCCCCACCCCCCTCGCTGTTCTACTTACCTTCTTTTTTTTTTTTTTATTGAAAAGGTTTTCAAATACAAATTTTTCCCCCTTTTTCCCCCCCTCCCCCCCCTCCCTAACCCCCCCTCCCCCCCCTTCCCCCCCTGTGACTTCTTCGTAACAAAAAAAAACCCTAATTCATAACAGATTACTTACTCCCTCCTCAAAATACTGACCTTTACTTACTAAAAGTATTATAAATCCCCCTTTATCCATACATTTCAGAAAAGAAGAAGAGAAAAAACAAACAAAAAAAAACAAACACATTATACTATAACTATTATAAAATAACTTCTAATTTAGCATAATAGTGTTTTATATCTATGCATTATTGCAACAATTCAAAACCACCTTCCACTTTAAAACTATACAATAAGTCCTACTTTAATAACATTTCAAAGCGGGCTCCCCATAAAATCTAATTTAACATTTATTCCACTCTATCCATTTCCTCCACTCCCCTAAATGTATCACTTAAAAATCCCTTTTCTTAAACTAATCAGTCTGTAGCTAGCTTATTCACCCACTGTCTTACAAATTTACCATACACAACAATTCTTGATATCTTTAATTCACTGCCCACACTACTTAAAAATATATATATATATATATTCCATTATATCTAAATAAAAAAAGAAAAGACAATAACTTTAAATTTATAGTCCATATAATATCTTCTTGAAGTCTTTCCACTGGATTGTTAAAACCAACATCCATAATAGGGTGACATAGCTTGCGGATGCAACAGTTTATTCAAGATCTCCAATCATATCTGCCCCCATCAGTAGTAAACATCTTCTTATATATATAAAAGTAAAAACAACCACCCGAGTGACATTATAATTGTATTCCATATAATAATAATTGTGGGTTTCATCAGGATTATTAATTTCCATCATCGTATTGGGTAACAACCCGATCTTCTGCATGTCCCAATGTGATTCTCTTGCCTTATAATTCAAGATAATTATAATATATTTATCAACACAAAAAGAAGTTTCAAAGTAGATAATTCAAAACCATCAATTTGAGGCTCTTTCCATGTCCCAAAATTACGGCAATGCAGAGATCTGTCACTATCCTCAGGATGATATTGACCAATATGTCGCCTCCTCTATGTTTTCACATAATCATTCATATTTTAAAATCACTGGCTTCACTGTTGCTTGGGTTAGAAATTTCTATTTTTGTACAACCTATTTCTTTTTTTGTTTTCTTTTTGTGGGTTTGACCTCCATCCTAATTTTTTGTGTCTCGCATTTCTTTTTTATCCCTTGTATATCCTC